ACCGTTACATCCCTAGTTTGCATTCAGTGCTAATATTCATTATTACTTTGAATTGATTAAAGCTGCAGTACGTAACTTTTTTTTTTGGGTTAAAAATGATCCGAAATCAATATTTGAGCAAGTACATAACCAGCCAGTGTTCAAAACTATTGCCTTACTTTAGCCCGATTCACAAAGGTTGGTTTATAATAATGCTTTCTAATTTGAGTGGTACGGGTAGGTTTTCGCGGGAAATTCGAGCATGCTGCTGCGTCATTACGTCACGTCTGTAAACATAAAGAAGTTGTCCTGACTACTAGGCTATCGCATGTGAGGATCCTGCAGGTGGCAGATCGTTTGTAGTCTTTTTTCACAGCAGCCAGAATAATTAAATGTATCATTTTGATGGCGGATTGTAATCGATTATGTGGATTAAGGATAAAAGAATTGTTTATGAACCACATGTGAATGATATTAAATTATATTCCAGTTATAAATGTGCTTCTGATTACAGATAGCCTGGGATTAAAAATATTTGTATTTTAAAGAAATCCAGTTCTAAGGGAGCATAATTTGCTTTTTGGGTTAAAAGAATTTCTTAATATGAAATTCGAAGAGTATGACAATTAGATTAGACTGTGCAGAAATTGAAATCTACATGCTAAAACACACTATACTCATAGTCACCAATGCTGATGTTGTTAACATTAATCATTTGAGAATAAAGTATAACAATAATAATAATTTGAACAGTTTGATGTGATATGAGCTAACCGATCTTTAGATTTAATCACCATTGGTAGCGAGATTTATGGTAATGGTTTTTTCCTCAGGTGGTCAGAACAAACGTGGCAGACGTGTTACTTGTTCAGATGGAAATATACAGTGAAAATTCTTATTTGGGTCATATTCCAAGATGTAGGCTAGAATCTGTGATTGCGAAGTACAGTAAATATCCACACACCGGTGCGGTGACTGACTGCCACACATACTCTTCAGAGCATTAGATTCATCCGTGCTGGAGCCGTGCCGACTCACAACCCACGCAAGCTAGATAATTCCGCACCCAGCTGCAATTCCAGGTTTTCAAACAGCGATGGGGACAAAGAGGCAAAAATTACGGACTGCAGCTTTAAGAATCTGTTACTGATTCAGCTATTCATATTATTATGAAATTTACACAGCATGTTTATTTTAATTTAAATTTTAATTTAGTAAAGCACATTTATGGGTCATTTTGTCCCAAAAAATAATACAATTTAATGCTAATATTTTCTTATATCAAATCTTAACCTTTGAGTTATTGAGATTTCACATGCAGTTTGTCTCTCACAAGTTTTAAAATAGTTTCAGCTAGTTGCAGACTCAAATCTGATCATGCAAATTCTTGTGCAACACCTGTTAGACTCCGCTTTTCTTCTGATTTCAAGAACAATTTAGTGGTGGAAAACCCAGTAATATTGTTCTTCTCACCTAGTTTGAGGACACCACAGCAGCTGGTGTGCAGGTGCATCTTTAAATCATCCCGACTCTCTTCTCTGCTCACTGTTATTAGTTGCCCAATCATTCTGTATGCTAAATTTATTGCCTGTAACCTTTGTTGCAGTCTTTTCTCACATGGTGAGGTGGTTGGCAGTGTCACTATGGTGTCACATTTATGTGCCCAATGTGCCTAAAAATGCTGTAATATGTTCTAAAGTATAAAGATATGAATATATCTTTGATGTGAAAAAGAATGAGAATGAGATTGTTTGATATTAATATTATTGACTGTATATTCATTTGTAAGTCGCTTTCTCACAAAGCCATATTGTTCAATTACAATTCGGTTTGATGTGAAGAACCCAAAAAGCAGATGATGACAAACCAGCAAAACCTCAAAAGAGGAAGTGGGACAAGAGGTGTGGAGACACGCCTGTTTTTAAGACTTCTGCTTTTATATGGTCACACTTCCAGTTCCTTCCTGTGTCCTGGTTGAAATGTTTGATATTGTTTGTCTTGTTTCAGAGGAAAGTGAGTACTTTGTGTGGTTTGGCCGTTTGCCGCATTTATTTATTTATTTTCATTCAAGAACATTAGCATTATATATATCTTCTGACGCAAGATTTATTTTGATCTCTTAATGGTGGCTGCAAAGGCAAACACACTTATGCAGATTGAATGCAGATTTCAATCAATATGTCAGGTTGAAATATACTTTTCAGGTCTGTAACAAAGCAGGCCTAGCTGCAGAGAAAGTCAGAGAAATCAGCGTTGCCATAGATCACTACCTCAATTACATGCCTTTTCTTTTTTAGACATTTTCTTTTCTTCTTCTTAAAGCATATTTTAAACCTGTAGTTTACTTTAAAGGGGTCCTATTATGCTCTTTTACAAAGTCTTGATTTTGTTTTGGGGGTGTACTAGAACATGGTCTCATGCTTGGTGGTTCGAAAAACACATTATTTTTGCACATAATTTACATTATTAAAATACCTTTCTCCCCAGGCTGGCACAAACGGCTCGATTAGTTCCGGCTTTGATGAAGGTCCGCCTTCCGAAAAACAAAATGTGTTGTGATTGGTTAGCTGTCCCAGTGCGTTGTGATTGGCGAACAGCTTAGACGGTGTTTCAGTACTGCCACGCCTCTTGCTCTGTCTTTCAACAAAAGCTTTTGAGAATCCTGCACTGTACTCACTCGTAATGTGGAAGCTGTCCTCAGTAAGATGCGCAGCACACAATAGCAAATTGGGGTTATAATGCTCGGGAACAGAGTTAAAAAGTAAATTGCAACCACTGTTTCCTGACATCATCCGCTTTCGGAAGTGAAAAAAAACAGCGTTTCAGGCGGTCGTACACCGGACGAGAAGCACAGCGTCGCGCCATGTCTTTAAAATTCGAATACATTATTTTCTATGAGTGTAGGCCCACCGCGGCGCCGTTCGGCGTCTGTCCGCGGCGCCCAGCTACGTCGTGTTATATTTGTAAGAATTGTTCTAGACCTGTGGTTCTCAATCCCAGTCCTCGCGTACCCCCACTCTGCATGTTTTGCATGTCTCTTTGTTAACACACCTGATTCAGATCATCATCTCGTTAGAAGTGAGCTCCGTGCATGAACTGTGTTCCGATTGACATGGTCCCTACACAGTGTCCATTACTCCCTACTCCCTGAGTGGGGGAAATCCATTGAAGTTTACTTCACTTCGGAATATTCATTTACAGATTTGCGCCGCTGCCTGCAGCGTCTTCACACACAAACGAAACTTACTAGAGAAGCGTGAAGTGGGACATAATATACCTCTGTAAATAAATACAATTTAAATTCACGTCTCGCACACTTAAATGCCCTTTGAATGGAACATACGCTCCCTTCAAACTGGAATGATGGAGGAATATCCGGTAATGTCCACTTCGCAGGGCACTTACAGTCAAATATAACAAACGTATGAAGCAATAAGAGAAACATACAAAATGTGCAGAGTGGGGGTACGCGATGACTGGAAATGAGAACCGCTGTTCTAGACATGCCAAAAATCTGAGGCTACAGCACAGCAGCTCTTCTTCTTGGTTTTCTCTGACGCACTAACTCTGCAACAGCTCTTCTTCTTCTCGTCTCGTCTAATGCGCTCACTCAACCTAACTTTGTGACATCATAAAGCCCGGAAACCGAACGCTGTAGTCCAAACGAGCTGTTTGCTGTAGTTCTTGAAAATTGATTTTTTTTTTAAACTAAATATCTCCCTTTGGAGTGGACTTTGAGATTTGTAACTTTCTAGATCTTTTTTATGCCCAAACATACACACTACACACTGACTAAAATTACAAAAGTGAAAAAGCATAATAGGACCCCTTTAAGGTTAACTTGTTAAAGTTATGATTTATGATTTGATCTTTTACAAATGAAAAAAGATTTTTTACCTATTCTAACTTATATAAAACAAATAACAAATAACCTGTATAAAATAACACCTTCCTAAAACTTGCTTTGAGAATATAAAAGTATTAAATAATTGAATTTAAATGTAAATGCATTAAAGGGATATTTCACCCAAAAATGAAAGTTCTGTCATTAATTGCTCACCCTCATGTCGTTCCAATCCCGTAAGACCTTTGTTCATCTTCGGAACACAAATTAAGATATTTCTGATATTTCAGAATTTTAATTTTTGGGTGAACTATCCCTTTAAATAATTTAGTTTTTGTCTTTAAAACAAATTAAATTAAATCTTTTTCATCTCATGATTGTAACTTACATTACTCATCATTCGATGTTCAGGGTTTAAATTGGGCTAGAGCATCATTCAGAGAGTGAATGACTACACACAGTCAGCCAGGACACATCTCATCTCACTGTACCACCGTTCCTTTCATGTGCTTCAACAATACTCTTTTCAAGTGCCTGGCTCCCCATTTGTACATAGTGTATTAGGAGTGTGGTGCTAAAAATAAGTGTAAGTGTAGACGTATTGCACATTGTGTGTGAGTGTGTGTCTGAGAGGACACACATGTCAGTAGGGTTATACTGTGTGTTTCAGCTTCCTCATGCTCCAAAACTGCCGGACTGAAGTTCATTTGAGAAGCATCTCTCCATCTCATACACTAGTTAAACAGCACTGGAATGTGAAAAGCTGCAGGAAGAGGTTTTATTATCTTCATTAAACATGTTATGTCATATGGAAGGCATCACCTCAAAGGAAGAAAATTGAACAGTGCGACAGAAAACTATCAGAAAAATTTCTAATGAAATTTTTATGGCTCTGTAAATGATCTTCTTTATAGGTTTCTATGGAATACATTTTTGCATTTTGTTTGTTTATGCTCGTTACAGAATAAAATCCTGTTAAATTGAAGGTCATCATCTGTAAGCAATTTATTCAAAATTTTTGCTGTAGATTTTCACTAAACCAATTAACATTTTGCTGTCTTTTTGTTGTCGCAGTTTGCTCAAGTAAAGACATCAGAAATAATGTGACCAACCTGCGGGTGCTGGAGAACTGCACCGTGATCGAAGGCCACTTAAAGATTCTGCTCATGTTCACGACCAAACCGGAGGATTTCCGTGGTCTGAGTTACCCCAAGCTGACGGTAGTGACGGACTACCTGCTCCTGTTCCGCGTTTACGGCCTGGAGAGCCTCAGTGACCTGTTTCCCAACCTCACAGTGGTGCGAGGTAATAATCTCTTCTTCAACTACGCACTCGTGATGTTCGAGATGCTGCAGCTGAAAGAGATCGGCCTTCACAGCCTGATGAACATCACCCGTGGAGCCGTGCGCGTAGAGAAGAACCCCGACCTCTGCTACCTCTCCACCCTTGACTGGTCCATGATCCTTGACTCGGTGGAGGACAACTACATCGTGGCCAATAAGAATGATCGAGAGTGCGGAGACGTCTGCCCCGGCACGATTCAGGGCAAAACCACCTGCCCCCTCACCACCATCAACGGAGACTTTAGCGAGCGCTGCTGGAACCAGAAGCATTGCCAGAGAAGTACGTACCCTAAAGCACTTCTTTTTATTTGAGTTTTGCACTGTTAAACCATCACACAGAATGTATTTACATCCTCAAAAGGAATCCCACTTATTTTCGCCTCACCCTCATCGTCAGATAATCGTTTCAAATCTCCGTTTTCACTAGCGTATTAGGGTAATAATATTTATATTACCATAGAGTCTTGAGATGTTTTGAGAAGCGAGTGGAAAGTTGTCAAGGCTCTCTGTGTGTGTGTGTGTGTGTGTCAGACTGTGTTGGCAGTACATTCACTGGCTTTTTCAGCAATAGAGACGCTGGAACCATGCTGGAAGCAACAAGTCAGGTGATCGGCTGCAGTTAAGTAAGCCAAGTTTCTGTGTCAAAGCATGAACCATGTTCCAGATTATGACATAACAGCCCTGTTTGTGCAGTAGTTCGGGGTGTGGGTGGTGCGTTGTGTTGGTGTATAGTTTTGTTTTTTACCTGACAGGATCCGTTGGAGTGGCCAGTCGCACATTATGAGCTGGTCTGCAACGGATGAAGCTGTCTGCAACCCTTTGTTCCATCTATTCAATTTGAAGTGCTGAAGAGCTTGTGTTTTGAACATAGGGAAGAACTTTACATATTGGTGCAAAGCCCTTGAGCTCGCACAATTACACAACACATCATGTAACTGTTCTTTGAACCAACTGTATGGTGTCATGTGTGTCTTGGAGGCATGATCATTTTCTGTTTGGTAATGGTCTTTCTGCGGCTCCATTTTAAAAAGAAAAGACTCTCTTTAGCTGTGTTGTGCAATTAGTTTTCAGGCAAAAATCTCTTTGTTTTAAGTTGGAGAAGGGCTCTAGTGACCAAAATAAATGCATAGAGGTGGGCTCTTTTGACTTGTGCCAGTACCTTAGCAACTGCCCAAAACAATATAGCAACATGCTAAAACCATTCCAGTGTCAATATGTAAGTCTGGTATTGCTATTAATATACACAGCAAATATAGCGCAAATGAAAACTTTTTTCGGCAAAGATGCATTATCTGTTCAAAGGGACAGTAAAGACATTTGTAATGTTACAAAAGATTTCTATTTCAAATAAAACAGTGGTTTCAGTGGTTTTTACATTGATAATAATGAAAAATTAGCACCAAACATGCACATTAGGCTGCTAAAAAATTTAACTTTGCCATCACAGGAATAAATCACATTTTAAAATAGAAAGGTTATTTTAAAATTGTAGTAGTAATTCACAATATTACTGTTTTTATTGTATAATTGATTAAATAAATGCAGCCTTGGTGAGCATAAGAGACTTTGAAGGGACATTTAGATATCAAGTAACGGTAGTTTATAAACTCCTCAAATTTTAAATGACAAAGCAACTGATTTTCGTAATTCTGCTTTATCTGTTTATGTAGAGTTGAGGGACAAACTACCTGTAGGTGATTAATGCAAGAGTAAGGATAGACTGAAGTCCTTGTTAAGTGCCTTGATAAAATCCTTGTTCGGGCCACTTTGACTCATGTCTGGTGAGTTGCAGTTGTACAGTAGGGGATGGAGTTTTTGGCAACAGGTGGAGATTTAAAAAAGCATTATCTAATGATAGAATCTGTCCTGGCCTGCTGCTTGGTCTGTGGTGACTGGTGAAGGACTTGGGGTTAGGGGTCCAATATTGCTTGGAGTGTGCAGCAACTTATAAAACCACAGAGTACTAAAGTGCAAAGAGATACTGTAAGATGAATGTTGTTTTCAAATACTTTGGTCACTATAATCGTGACATGAAATTTTCATACCGTTACATCCCTACTGAGCACACAGTGCTCGACGGAAATTCTCCCTCTTGTTCGCCGTCGTCCTTAACAGTTCTGTCTAATACGGATAGAAGTCTGTCTAATAATCCGATAGAACTGTTAAACAAAGGAATTAAAATGTATACAAAAAGTATTATAACGATTGCTTTTATATTATTAGTAATAGAAAGGCAAATATTATAATACTTTTTCGTTTGCCGTCAGCATTCAGCAAATACGCATTTACATTATTTAAACAAATCTTTGAATGGCTAATGAAAATTTTATTTCACAAACCTTGCAAACTTAGTCGAATCCAGTTGTGAGATCGTGTGAAGTGTAGCCTATAAGTATGTTTATTTTAGAAATTTATTTTATCCATTTTCAAATGATTTCAAATTTCTTAAATATTAATTAAAATAAATACAATTATATCGGCCATCGCCCCCCTGCTTTCCAAGATATTGGCATCAGCTGTCAAAAAAACAATATCGGTCGACCACTATATGACTAGTACTTACCGTAGCAGTTGCAGCTTGCTTCAGAAACCCTTCACCTTCCCCAGCTCCACCTGTATAGATCTGCTACGAGGTGATTCATGTATGCTATATGGGGGTTATTTCATGTGTTATATTTGCAGCAGCAATATATCTTGCATGCTCACAGTAGGATGTTGTGAATGTATTGGCTGTAGCAAGTCTCGGTACTTGCTCTGCCGCAGCAGCAGCATAGCAGATCTATTCCACCAAGACCAAATAAATTAACATTGTTATGTACATTACCATGCCAATCCCTCCGAGAGTTGTCATGACAGAAATACATTTTAACCTAAAATACTCTTGGGGAAAAAAACACTATGTTTTCAGTGTCCTAGCGACAGAATACCAGATAAACCTGGGCCACTGACATCTGTCATGGTTGATCTGATCACAGGTAGTTGGCTGAGACACATTACTGTTTACACTTGGCATTGACATGCATCTCAGATGTGTCTCCTGTGGCCACTTGATCAGATTTTGTTGAGAGGAGAGCCTCTGAATTCATAGCCGCTTACTATATCAGTTTGTTGCTGCATAGAAAAGACAAAGTTGACACAATATTAATAGTATAAGGAATAATAAATTACTATTAGTAATTTAATAGTAGCATTAATAACAATAAACTTGAACTTTTTAGCAATTTCTCTTTTTAATCTTTTTTTTTTCTCACTTCAGTGGTAATCTGCCAAGTGTCTTGGAGATTTACAACGGTTTAAATTGCGAATTTCATTTTCAGGTCTATGCTTAACAAGTAATAGGTCTGTGGTTAACAAGTAATAAATGGATTATAACTACTGCATAAATGTAGCCTAATTTAGTGCTATAAAATATTAAATAAAAAACATTATCAGACAAGCATAATGCAATCATTTCTCTTTTTTTCTCTCTCTCTCTCTCTCTCTCTCTCTCTCTCTCTCTTTTATTTTATTTATTTATTTTTTTGGAGAATAAAAATGCAAAAAGCACCACCAGAGGGTTTAAAGTATGGGGTCATTAAGAATTTTTATTTTATTTTTTATTTTTTAGAAATTAATACCTTTATTCATCATCAAGCATGCATTAAATTGGTCAAAAGTGACAGTAAAGACATTTGTAATGTTACAAAAGATTTCTTTTTTAAATAAATTGTTCTTTTGAACTTACGATTCATTAAACAATCCTGAAATAAATGTATTTCCAGGAATGAAAATAAGTGTATTTCCATTTCCACAAAAATTATTTCCTAAACTGCATGTAACTGGAAACGTGCTTGTTTTTTCTCAGTTGTTTGTTGGCAAGTAAATCATTACCATTGGTTGCTGTTATTCAGGATACATAAGCATTTACTCTTGTTTCTGTACATTTAAAGTACATGAGGGCTTCTACACAGCATATCAATTTGATGAGCTCCATAATAGAGCGTTAATCCCTGTAGGATTAAGCTGTTAGTAAAGTGAGTTTTCCTCGCTCATTAATCCTTCTACGTGGAGGATCTTACACATACTGTCTCTCTCTCTAGCATTCTTGCTCATTTGCTAAGGTCCCTCTGTCCCATATGTTTCTTTGCATAATATTGAATCACATTAAGAGCTTTTGTCTTAAACACACGTCTGTCCAGCTGCTGGATTTCAACAGGAATGCAAGCGAGTCCCTCGCCCTTAATCCTGATCCACATGGAGGGAATTGCAGAGTTGCATTGCTTAATTCTGTCTGTAGCTGATCAGCGGTGAGTGGTCGACTGCAGCCGTGCGCCCTTCCTTGTGTCTGATCCAGAGAAAGAGAAAAGTTACTGAGGACAGCCAGATCAGCCTCTTGTACGGCTGCCTCTGAAAGAGGAGGGAATGAGATGGCGAGAAAAAGAGCCTGTGGTAACTGCGCAGGGACACGTTGCCAAAGTCTCTTTTGCAGATTTCCGTGGTTTTGTTGGCAGCCGTACAAAAGTGGTTTTGTTTCATATTTGGAATAGTTTTGGAAGTGTTGGCACTGGTTTTTCCTGAGCAGCTTTGCTCAGTGAGCATATTTTGGCTGTTGGAAGCAGTAAAACTGATTTAAATCTATTGCTGTTGAGGAGTTAATAAAGTCTGACAGTTAATCAGGCCCTTTTTTGGTGTTTTTAAATGCCTGATGTTCACTTATACCAACCAACCGCACTAAACTGAATAACCGAGCATCATCCTGCATGATGACACAGCAATGGGCCTGAAATCATTGTGCCCGCCAGCTGCCCTGTGGGGAACTGAGGAATTAAATGGGAAAATAAAATGGTAAACGGGAGCCATTGAAGGACGATGATATACTTGAATGCTTTTCTAAAGGTGCTCGTGCAATCATGTACAGTACAAATGGGGAGAACATTGGAGACTTGGGATCAGTTTCTGCCTGTCCTTCACACTTGTGAAGTTCGCTGTCGGTGTAAAGTCCATGTTTTGTGTTAGATCTGTTAAGGGAGCGCAAAGGCTTCTGTTGGCTGTCAGCCAGTGCTGAATGAGGCTGGGCATCCCCCAGCACTGAATATTTTACACACATTAAAAAATTATCTTCGTTATCTGTCCTCAGAGGGGATTAGAAACACAGCTGGGATGGAGAAACGGTAGTTTGTCTGGGAGAATAGAAACACTACATGTAGCTAAATGTTTAAGTTTGTGGCTTAATGTCTACCTCACTGGTGACAGATTGCATTTGGCTTCGAGAATTGGCTCATATTTGATAAGCTAGTACGG